GACAGATGTACAACAGTGAAAGGGTGCTTCGGTGGAGGCTGGGCAAAAACTAGAGTGTTTGTCTATCAATTAGTGACTCAGTAATCTGCAAGTAATTCTAAATGTCTCCTTTGGCTGTTACAGTCTTCCATTTCTGGCTCTCCTTCCAGTCTCTAGAGCACCTTATGAGTGTTAACATAAAAGTTTCCAAGGAAAATTGCATCTGGGCACTTACTTTTCTGTTATCTTTCTGTTCTTGATGGCATCTGATATTCTATTCATGGCACATCACAGTGTCATCAGCCTGATGGTTGTACATTTTTCTACATCACTGATGAAGAGAATAAAACGTGATGCAATTTATTTTTATCTTGTCATCATGAATGTAGAGAGCCATGAGAACCACAGAATTTTCAAAATACAGCAGGGGCGAATTTATCAGTGATTAAGGAGGTGCTAATGCGCTGGATGACATGGTAGCACCTGCGAAACTTACCCACCCAACTTAGGCTATATCGAGTCCTGGACTACAAAGCACAAGTAGAAGGGACTGATGGTTTCACTTCTCAATATATTGTCGTCTCATAGTTTGCTATGGATTTTCAAACAATTTTTATTTCACATCACTGTGCTTTATCCAAGCAAGTCTGTGCGAACATTAACAGTTAAATTTTCAATTTAAGCCTATTGCAAAAATCCTAAATAGTGAACTGCACTTTCCTGCTCCAAGGCAACTTAAATTGCTGGCTTATCTACCAGCATCACTCATCTAGTGGAGAGTGACAGTAGTCACATAGTACTCTCTGTTCAGCTGAGCTAAAATACATGAGTAGGACAGGAAAATTACCTCAGCTACCACAGGGATCACCAGGATTAGAGCACAAAGTTTAATTAAATTTCCCCTTCATGACTCAAGGTGAGAGGAGAAGCGGGACCACAGCTGGGGCAGGGAAAAACAGAAACGCAGCTTTGGGAGGTCCTGAGAGCTGTAAAATGCTCCCAAATAGTCTGATCCCCCTGCGTCTGTCCGTGTGAGGAGGAGTCTCTCCTTGCTCCTTGTTCCTTTCTCGTGTCCCAGTTCTGGGGCTGTGAGGTGTTCTGCACAGTCTTCCAGTGCCACAACCACTCATGGCCTGGTGGCCTCTCCCAGTCTCCTGCCAACCAGCTTGTTTCTGCTGTGGTGATGCATGTGTGGATAGAATAGACACGCAGGGATGCTGTCTTGTGGGAGGAGAAAAGGGGCCAGGGAGAGGATGCAGAATTCTTCTGCTCATTTCTGCTAGCTCCCTCTCCTGGTGTACCTATCTTGTGTATCTCAGCAGAGGTTTGTGAGCTTGTTTCTTTATTTACCTATCCTTCCTGTTGGTCGTTTGTCTTTCTTTTTTTTTTTTCCACCTACAAATGTTTACATTTAAAGTATTGGGACCAGTGTCCTTGGCTTTAAAATTCCACATGAAAAAGTTTTATTTGACGGGGCATTCAGATCAACACTAAGGCTTTTGTGTATGTTACAGAGAGTAAAATGGCTATAATGAGACTGCAGTTACGCACAACAATGAAAATTTAGCACAGAATCTTCTCTCCAGTAGACCAGGTGTAGCATCAGAGCTAAGATGATAGAAAAATTCTTTTTAAGAACACAATTCATTCTTCTTTATGTTTGACGTTGATCTCTCACAAAGCATCCACGGATAAGTGAAGGGTTAAGGTAAAACCCTTTCTTCCATCTGGACAAAGACAACTTTTTCTTTGGAAATAAAGCCTGTTGCAAGGCTTGAATTGAATTTTCACTGCAAAAAGGATGAAAGTCTCCAGGTCAAATGCTGTGTAACCTGGTGACTGTAATGGTATGATAAGACTGATGATAATGCCACAGTCTGTCTGGTCGGACTGTGGAATACTACCTACATGAACCACAATGAATATAAGAGTCTGGTTTTTTGTTTTAGTACTTTTTTTAAATGCCTCCCATTGTTTCAGACTGCCATGCAAAACCCAGCAAGCTTAGTTTTCACTCCTAAGTAGATGTATCAGAAACTGAAATGAGGTATCAGCTGGTAAATAAACTGCTAGTTCTGTCTCTTTGTTTATTACTCAGGAAATATCTCAGTTCTTCTAAACAGTTATATAAGCCTTGTGTTCATAAAATTCTGGCAAGTGCTAGAAAATGCTCCAGAGATTGTTTTTTGAGGCAACAGCTCTGAAACCTACAAGCTTCAACTGCCATTAAAGAATGAAATTTGTTTGGCCTGGTATGTATGGCTCTAAAACTTACGGCAGGAAGAAGTGTTTCTGAGAGTTAGCCTTCTTGGTGACATTGCATTGGAATTCCTCAGCTTTTACTGCCGTTGTGCTCCTTCGAAATGTGACTAGACAGCAAATAGCGTTCAGACGAGAAGAATGGCCATATTGGTTCAGGTTAAAGTCTAAGCATATAGCTTAGATGCCATCTCCGACACTAGCCATAAGCAATCGAGGGGGAAATTTGTTGTTTCTCCAAAACAAACCAAAATAAAATTTAAAAAAAAAGCCAATAATAAATAATTTAAAAAAAAAAAACAAAAAAACAAAAAACAAAACCCAAACAAGGAAAGCAAAGCCAAACTCATACCTTCAAATTCAATTTATACCACCTCAGTGCTGTGAAGTGGCCAAGGTTTTTGTTCCGGCCTTAGCACCTGGAAACTAATAGGAGCCACAGCCCGAGTGCGTACCAAAGGCCCGTGTAGGTGCAGCTTTGCGGTCCCGGCGGTCCGTGCGGTGCCTCAGATGCTGAAGCACGGTCCAGTCTTGCACTAGCAGGACTGCAGAGAGGTGGCACTGCTGTATTGTGCTTTGTACTCGCTTCATTCATCAGATGCTGGCGACAGACTCCGAGATTATTCATTGGAATTGAGGTGTTTTGCTTTTAAATGTCATATTCTTTCGTCTGTTTTCAAAAAGGCAAGCCTCTTAGCAGAGAAAGGTTTTATTTTAAAGAAGTGATGAAAAAAAATGATGTCTCCATAAATGAGATTTAAAAAAAAAATCGCCTCAAGAGTTGCATTGTTCAAATGCAGAGAATAGCCTATTGTATCTTAAAATAGTCTTAACTTAAGCTAGGATTTAGTGCCATAATTCACAAATATGTACCTGGAAAACCCTTCTTGTGTTACTGAGACTGTTTGACTGCTGTCATGTATGATCATTTCCATGTAATCATCTTTTCAAGTTTATTGAATTTAATCCTCAATGCAGTTGCATTTCTTATGCTTTTATTTTATGTGAAGACTGTTCGAAACTGCATTCCTCTGATGCTAAGCAACTGAGAATAGCTGAGACTAGTTTAAGTATTACAAGCTAATGTTTGGGGTTTTTCCTCTCTCATCATCAGAAGTGTGCCTCAGGTAAAGTTAAAATAAACATTCAGCTTTTTACCTGTCTATTAACATATTGTGGCTGCACCGCTATGAAATTACTTCAGATGTCATTTGCAAGCAGACAGAAATAGAACAGACCTTTTCATTCCTCTGGATCTGTGCAAATGAGATCATTATGAATTTCACAGTGACAATGCACATACTACTGCAACGTGTATTATCAAAATAAAAGGATTTGCTAATTTTATTACTGCTTGGGCTTTTGGTAGAAAGAGTCAGAATGGTCTAATCGGTTTATTGTAAAGTTTTTTATTACTTTTGTTTTTAAATTACAGTGGGAGAAACTACAGATGACAACAAGTGAGAGGAGGAAAATAGTTTGTTCCGTCACATTCCATGTCATTGCAATTACCTGTGTTGTTTGGTCATTGTATGTTTTAATTGACAGAACTGCTGAGGAGATTAAACAAGGCAATGACAATGGTAAGTATCTTTTACCTTCGTCAATCTTGTTGATAATGCAGCAGATGGCTTTGAAAGGCAGCTGTGCAACCAGTCACGTTCTGTTCTTAAATAACAGCTGACTGGTACATGGCTACATCAAATGCTTGAATGCAGAAGTAATGAATGCATCGCTGTTTAAAGCTTATGTTATGCCCCTGCAGAGAGACCTCTACTTAGTGGAATCATTACAACAGCTTAACTAGCCTGGTGGTTCTTCCTAGGTTAATCTCCCATTATCTAGGTATTTCTAAAGCTCAGACAAAAAGATGAGTAAAATTCAAACAGCTCAGTGCAAGTTCAGGTCATAATATAGCAATTTATTTATATTACCCACTTGAACCTCTATATCCTGTAAAACATGATAGAGCCCTTTTATCAACAAGCTTCCTAACACGAACTTCCAAGAGACTGTGTTCCAGTTGTGTTAGTCCTTCATGTGGGATTTAAGTAACATGTAAAGCCAGTCCTGCATCCTTTTGAATAGAATTTCACTGTGAATGTCCATGTGCCAGTTGTGTTTATTGTGAGGGTGGTCAGACACTGGAACAGAGAGGTCACTGAAAACTCAACGGGACATTGTGTGACAAAATGCGTGTTTAACATGAGTAGGTTTCTTCTTGGACTATACTTACTGCATGCGGAAACTATATTCCAAAGTAAACTACTGTTTTCCATTTGAACTTAATCTAGATTAAGTTAAGTTAAGTTAATTAATTTATTAATTAGATTAAGTTAATTAATTTATCTTATCTTAAGATAAATTAAGAATTTAATCTATTCGGTCTTAAATTTAGTCTTATATACGTTCATGATGATGAAGAGGATAAAAAGGTTCTGAGTTTTGATCTGATTTGACTTTAAGCACAGTAGATGGACAAAGGTCTCTTAGCTTTGTGCTGTACTCTGAAGTTAACGTGGAAAGCGAAACAGGTGGAGCTTTGTGCCTTGCTAGTTAGATAAATATTTGATGATACTCCTTTTGCTTGCCTTTCTTGCCAGAGAGGAAAACATGGAACAAGCCTCAGTAAGTCACAGATGAATGTATACTACAAAGGCTTGTTTTGCGTTCTTTCTAAATAGTTAATCCTGTCTTTCATCTAAAAAAAACTGGCCCTGAGGAGAGGACTAGGAATGACTTTGAACTACTAATTAGAGTAATAGTGGTTAGGGAGATACAAAGTGATGTAGATGGTCTTTGTGTGCTTTCATTTTGCTGCAAATTAAAAAAAAAAAAATTAATAATTGGCCTGCACCATCACTTAATACATTGTTACAATTTCTAAGTACTACTAAACAGTTACCATGACAGGGAAAACTACAGCTACTTCAAACATTTTCTGTGCTTTTGCAATAATTAGTCTTCTTTTGGTCTCCATTTGTTGATTTAATTAAAAGCCTGGTTCCTATGTGTTTAACAGTAAAGGGGATACTTATTCATGAGACTCAGTCAGCTGCCTAAAGGTAAAGACTTGCTTTTGAGGAGTCCAGGTTACCAGCTCTAGAAGTCAAGACTGGTTCCTCACTGAAGCTCTTCTCCCGAGTCCCAGAGGAACACAGGTTGCTTTCCTGCCTGTGGCAAAAAAAATATGTCCTGTGTAAAACTCAGAAATATCACCAAGTTGTTGTGATATATCACCAGCAGTTGAATACAGCATCTGCAAGGCACCTTGAATACTACGCTCAGTGAGCAAAATGGTGCTGAAAGACCTTCCACATAGGAGCAACAAACCTATTCACATTGTTCAGACTGACAGCTTAAGCATTGATACAGAGGTCTGACTCTTGTGCAGAGCATTTAATCTTTAAATGTGGTGAGGCAATGTGTAAGGGGATGTCTGGGAGCCGTGCCTTTAAGTTAGGCTACTGAAGGGTTGAAAAAAGCAGATACAGCGGTATGAATTAATAAAAAGGCTGTTCTTAATACAATATTAATTTATTCTGTTAAACTCTTTAGGCCACAGCAAATCATTTTGACATTGTTCATATCATAATCAAGTTCAAATGCTCTCATCTCTAGTTAGCAGCCACGTATTTTTCTGTAAATAGCAATGTGATTGACCAACGCAACCAGAAAAGTTAAGAACAGCTACACCAAAAACTGTAAAATTTTTTTTTTAGTATATAGGAATATAAATTGTGCTTTTTGATATAGTTGTGTTCAGGGAGGTTGCACAGACAGCAGGAAAAAGAGGCCAATGAAGGCAGGTGACGCAGGAAATAAGAGCCCTTTCCACTAGCTTTTTTTACTTCAGGATGAAGCTAGGACCAGGTAATAGTATTGTAAATGTTGGTGTTCCAGGTACCCAAAACAGTGTCATGCTTCTAGCACGACTGAAAAAAACAGTGGTTGTTGAAGATGTGCATAATATATATAGGTATCCAGTTATCTCAGTTTTGGTACTTATATTTTTTGCCCAAGCAAGCTATGGAATAAGGGGATATTACTGAAGAACAGTAAAATGTTTCCATGTTGACTGTATCAAGCATTACACTTCCTTTGTGAGAGTGGCCTTGTATTTCTGGTTTGGCCAAACTGTGGTGAGGTCAGTTAGAAGTGGCAGGCAGATGTAGTTTCTTGGCTTGCCTGTGGGATAGGAAACTGCTGCTGTTTCCTATTTGAGCCACAACTGCCCCAATAGCACGTACGCACCTGGGCATTCTTAGCAAGTGGCTTCATTTCAAAATATTTGACTGAAACTCAAGTGCATTGATATTCAATGTATAACAACAGTAATAAATACAAACATTTTATTTCAAAGGTGTCCTTGAATGGCCATTTTGGACAAAACTTGTTGTGGTGGCCATTGGATTCACGGGGGGCCTGGTCTTCATGTACGTGCAGTGTAAGGTGTACGTTCAGCTGTGGCGCAGGTTGAAAGCCTACAACAGAGTGATCTTTGTTCAGAACTGCCCAGACACTGCCAAAAAACTGGAGGAGAAGAACTCTTCGTGCACTCAGAACTCGGACGTCAAGGACGCAGTGGTGGTACCAGTAGCACAGACAGGTACAAACTCTCAGCCGGCAGCTGAAGAAACGACATCTGAGGTCATGCCAGTTTGACGAGAGACAGCGTTGTTTCTTCCATGCAGAACAAGGTGTAGTGTTTTCTACACTGCAAATGCTAAAGAGAGTAGAAATGACTGTGCATTTTTTTCAGTTAAAAAAAAACGAAAAAAAAAACCCACAGAAAAAACAAAACCCTACAAGGAAAACGGATCCAGCAAAGCAACTTGTTACTGTATGGAATGTGACCGTTTGTGAAGTAGTTTCTCAACTAGTCAGCAAGTGTAGTGAAAGTGGAAGTGTAGAAAGTGCAATAGAGAACAGGTTTAACAGACAATGCCAAACCAATGTGACAAGAGTACTTTTTTTTTTTTCCCCCTTAAATTGGATGGCTGGGAAAGTAGAAACAGACCTGATAGAATCATTTTGTTTACAGAAAACAAAAACCTTTCATCTGTTTACTACAAAACGTTGTAAAGATCCGTTTCAAGTTATATGCATTAACCCCATGGAAGTACGAAGAGCTGTATCCCAGCACTTACTCTGTAAGCCTCATACAGCAACACATGTTCATGTGACTGCAGCGGAGCCTAAATGTTTAGGCAGGATATTAGAAACGTTTGAAGGGTAGCATTGTTTTTAAAATATGCCTGAATTTTTGAAAAGTAAGCAATTCCAACCAGTACAAACTCATGTCTCCATAAGCTACAGATATTTTTTTTTAAGTATAGCTGTCAGCAACATAAGTACAGGAAGGAGAGGATGTGTAGATACGTATTGAGAAGAGCAGCTCAGCTGTTTATTTTACTTTGTAAGATTGAATTAAGACATAAATTGGATACACAAAGTTTTGAGGCAGAACTATAAATGAAAAAAATGCAGTTTACTGCAGAATCACACAAAAGTGAATTGCACATTATCGAAGGTCTGAAAAAGGATGACACACAGGAAAGATGGAACGCATTTTTGGTTTTATTTTTAAAGATTCATGATACAGAAAGGTAGACATAAGAGAATATACCTACGTATCTTAAGAGAACATTAGTTTTTACCTCTTTGTTCTGAAAAGTTAGTTTTTATTTTCCTGACTGAAAAAATGAATCAATGGTTTCCCTCTGTACAGGTAAACTTGAGGTGTTAGAGATTCAACAGTTCAGTTGTTAACTTCGTGTTTTGAGCATTCTCATATAAAAATGAAGTGTGAATAGCATTAAAAGGTGCAATAGATAAATGAATGTAGATGTAATACTGTGTCCAACAGGATGAATTATATATAAAGAACCAATTTTGTGACTCACTTCTCATACCTGTGATGTTTACCATCAGGACACAACAGCAAGTATTGACTTGGAGTAGTTATGTACTGGTGTGGACAAGTGTGGGGCCTGAATGTAATGTATATTTAAAAAAAAACAAGTAAAAAGTTCTCTTTTGATCTTGTATTTAGGTAAAGGAGGAAAAGCAAACAGGCAAATAAAAAAAACCACAGTAAAGAGGATAGGAGAGCACAGGTTCATTCAAAGGGAGATATCTGCCACGATTACAAGTGAACTAGACTTCTGCAGAAGCCTTGCAGTTTCTAGTGGTAAATTTCCTCTTTACACACTCAAATGTCTATAATTAAATAACAGAATCATCCCATTCTTGCAAATATCCAGGGTGCTGGGCCCAAGATGTATTGGAGTTTATATATTAGGCATTCCTTTGTGAATGTGTTTACTGGCTTAAGGCTCAGGGAATGCTGGGAGTAGCAGTATTAGCAAGAAATGTGGCTTTTATCAGACCATTATGTTCTTTTGTCTTGGAATTGCTCATGTAATTTGGCTGTGACTAAGTTATTGTCATCTGGCTAGACAGGACCCAAAATCTTGGTGCTTAAACAGGCCCTAAATACATAATATTAGTATTTGCTCTAAGTTACTCCAGGTGAGTTGGATTAGTGTTTAAGTTTTCTCACATAATGACACACACTTCTCATATAAAATAACTTTCCAATTATACAATTGCAAATTGGAATTGTAGCAGCTTCTCATGTGAAATGACATACAACAGTAACTAACTTCTCTGTTTATAACTGTGGAGGAGAATTCAGAAGGGTCTTCAGAAAACGACAGTACTAAGGAATGCCTCATAACTACACGTTTTAAGATAGTCTGCAAAGGCATGTTTTCCAAAACTGTAAATCTACTTGCTAAAAAGTAAATCTTATCATATCTGAAGTTAGACACTTAAAATTACTAGCTGCATCTAAATGTTTGGAATGATGTTTACAATAAAACCTGATGAATCATAGCCAAATTGACTGACAAGGAACATTATTATGGAAGATAATTAAGAGCTTTCTGAAATAATCAGAAAGCTTCTTACTAAGTGACATTAACTCTGCTTCTCTTTAAGTGACATTAACTCAGCTTGGTTTTTGACCTGCTGTAGCATCAAGACCCCATTGAAAGTACTTTATTCCCTATTTTGACAGTTTACTGAAGACTGATTCACACTGCTTTTTTTCTTCTTGAACAAGTATAAAATTTGACTCAAAGAAAAAAATACCTAAGGCTTCTGAAAGCAGATGTGTAGCATCCAACAAGATTACTGTGCATTTTTAAAAATACAGTGAAGAGTCGGCAACAGAACAGACAACTTGGAAAATTTTATACTAACAGCTTTAACTGCAAAACACTACTATGGCACTCAGCTACATGTGCAACTCAGCTTACAGATAGTTAAATGTAAGAATGGAGAAAGACTTCAGTTGAAATTCCTTCTCTCCCTTTGAAATATTAATTTGGACAGCAGGCAAAGGGTCAAAACGGGACACTGTCTGCTGAGACAGACTATGAGACAAGCCAGCAGCAAGAGAGATTACAGGCAGGCTTAGAGCAGTCTTTAACCTTTCAAAGCATTACAGTATTAGCCCGTACAGCCCTCTCTCTTCTTAGGTGCCCTGGATATTCTAGAGCTTTCAGGGATTTCATGCAGGATTGGAATTTGCTTCTGAATCTGGGTGCAATCTCTTCAAGAGGGCAAGGAGCTATTCACACCGACATGCCTTGGATACAGGCCTGCATGAACAAGGAAGGTGCACGAATACAGACACTAGGCAGCTGCTTATCAACCAATGTTGTTTTCATTCCCACGTGAAGCACAATTTTCTGTATCAATTTAATAACCACAGGATTCTATCCTGCAAAAACAGTACACTGAAAGTATTAAGCTACATTCTATGACTTTTTAATGAAAATGATATATCAAATAAAGATCCGTATCAAACTACCTGTGTTGCCACAATCCATCTCGGGCAAACACACTGATGGTGGCATTTAGGTTGGCTAAACCCGTGTGGGCAGAAACTTGCTCTGAGCTGCTATTACCAAGAACTTAATCTGCATTCTTGTTTAAGCAAGGTTTTAATGAAGGTAGGTAGAAGTAATCTGGTGCCAGATCAGATCTGGAATTTTAAACAAGATACTCCTAACCTATGGAGATGCACATTTCTTTTCCTAAGTTACAAGTATTATAAAGTTTATTTCAAACTGGTATAAACATACTACTTTCGACTACCATTAGCGTAACGAAGATTCTCAACTAGTCCAACTGTGCCATTCACACACTGCTCTATCTGAAGGCGGTGTTTATTTTTGTTGTGTAGAAAAAATAGTAATTCCCCATCACCAGAACGAACCATTTATAATTTCTAATAATGCAATGGAACGTACTCTATGATGAAAATATTTTACTGTGTATAATTATCTGGAACTGCAAGTTTGTGTTACTTGTTTAACTCCCTCTCTTTTGCAAAAGAAAACTTGTATGTTTTTGTGGGTGAATGTGTACTGAAAGACAGAAGGTAAGGGAAACAAAAGTAATATATCTGCTTATTGTTGTGAAAAAAAATGTATTTGTATTAAACAAATTACCCAAATTACTGTAGTATTCTACGCTTGTTACTTCGTTATGTAAAGCACAGCATGCTGAACCTGAATTGGCAAGACCACACTCTTGCAAGAAACGTGAACGATACACTCAGCTGCGTACTTAATATTGATAAACCTCGTAGCTCAGAGTGGCTAGTTTTGGGTACCACACCTTGGCAGAACACTCAAGAAAATACCTCACAGTACAAAAACACTTGAAAAGAACTATGGTTGTTTAACTTGCAGAAAGGAAGACTGTGAGCGGGCTTCAACTCCATAAACAACTCCCAGAAAGCAACTGGTTTTACATTCATAGCAAAATGGACAACTAGTACTTGGTTTCAACGGCAGGAGGATAAGAGGAAGAAAACTTCCTAAGGAGGAGAGCAGTGCTTTGGAATGAACTTTGTTTTATTTGACTGTGGACCGTCCAACACTAGAAAGCTTTAAAGATGAGTTGGACAAACAGTTAAATGGTTTAAAGCCAATCCCACCTTAGATTGTCAGAATGTATCATGTTCCCTTTTTTATTATTTTAGACTTCTACTAGGTAAGATTTTCTCCTTTTCCAAAGACTCTAAAGATAAATGCTTTTTTTAATGAAAAGAAATATTGCAAATTTGCATTATAAAAGAATCTGTGTACTTTAAGTCAGGTGTAAAAGCAAAGAAAGTGTCCATCTTGATAAATACACAGCGTTCCAACCAAACTACAAATTTAGTTTTCTAAAGAGGGTTGTATGCACCTATCCCGTATCTTTCTCGTAGATTGTCAGCTGG